GTAAAAATTCAAAAAAACATGTAATTAATTAGTGATATTTTAAAGATAAATATATAATAAATTATTATGAAAAAAAAGTTAAAATTTTAAACTTATATATCTTACTATCTATTAATCTCAGAAATATGAAAATATAATTATTTAATAGGCCTTAATAAGATAAATCAGGATCCTGAAAACTTATATATGATGTTTCAGGAAATTTTCAGAAATTTTACTATGTATTTTACCCAAGATTTTTCCTATCAGTTTTACCTTGATATAGTATAAAGATAATTTAAATCATTATAAAATTTACCCTTGTATAAGCATTGGATCTATTTATTCACATTTAATAATGAAACACATCATTCATTATCTAAACTAGTGTGATTTTGATTACGAAAAATAGAAATAAATTGTGCTTGAGTACTGAAATTATTTAAAAGGTTATAAATTTATAATGAATTGCTATCTAATGTAAGCATAAAATTATTTTGAAATGTAATAGAACTCTTTTCAAGATGATAAACTACTTCTTTAGGGTTATGTATGCAAATAATTTTTCACTAACAAGACAATCATTTTTAAAAAATGACCCACCATAAATATCGATAAACAATGTAACTAAAATATATGATAATAAGTTAATATTATCTACATTACGTGAAATAAATGAATGTTTTCCACTGATACTTTCATATATTGCTAATACTCTTCCTAAACATAATTTTTGATTGGAAAAAATAATTAAGAATCCATCTACTTCTAAAGGATTATTTTGTGAAATATTGGTGCAACTAATATCTAAATAAATTTAAAAATATATTTGTGAATGATAATTTGAATAAATTTGTCTTAAATTATAAAATTTTTTACTTTTACCTTTTAATTCAGATTGGTTTGTTAAATTGGAAATATCTTCTATTCTTTTTCTTTCTAGCCACCGTTTGTTCCTATTACGAATTATTTGATTACTGGAATTATTACTATTTAAATGTGTTATTAAATGATTTGCGGTATTACTATCAATTCGATCATTAGAATTATTTTCTAGATTAATTCCTGATTTTTGATTAATTTCACAAATACGATCTGACTTTGAATATGCTTCATGTGATTTTCAAATTGACAATATTTGTTGAACATCAATAGTACCATCATTTCTAAAAATTGATTATTCCGATTCATGATCTGGTATTCTAATATTTATTGATCCGTTATTTTCTAAAATATATTAAATTTCTGTGGATTTGGCAAATTCTATTAGATTTAAATTTTCACGTTCATTATCATACTCATTTGTTTCACTTTCTTCATTATCTTCTCTAATATCATTTTCATGCTCTTCATCTAGAATTTCATTTAAAGTTTCATCCAATTTAGATAGTCTTAAAATCTCTGAAGCAGCATTCTCAAAATTGTAAGTTTGTTCTTTAGGCATATCTGATTCATTATTTTTAACATTCTCATCAGAATAATATGAATGTAATGTAATATCAAGAGTAGGATCAGAAATTTTTTGGATTTGTTGCTTAATTTCAAGAAAATTCATAAATGAAGTTGCCTTAATAATTCAATTTCATTTATAAGCAAAACAGGCCTATCAATATCATAAATATATCCTAATAAATAAATGATAAATTTTTATTAAATCATAAAATAATATAACATAATACAACTTGATTTTATATACAGTATACCTTGTGCAGATGTTTTTTCTTGATTATTGGTCAAATTTTCAAGCTGTAAAAGTTTATCTCTATACATTACTCTATTTATTATTTTGTAAAATTCATAATAAGTGAAATCTAGCACAATTTGCCTCGCCAGTCCAAATACATGTTCAATAGCTTCAGTTTCATGTTCCCATAGAAAAAATGGAAAAGTCAGATAAAAATCTCAATATGCAATTATTAATAAAACCATTGATTCAGCCAAACTAATAAAAATTTTCCAACTTTGTATAGAAATACAACTTTTTGAAAAAGAATACCATTTTCCAGAATGAAGATTGTTACATTTATCTAAGTATTCTTTCCACATTATTAAAAAAAAATAAGCTCTCATTACCATAATAATACGCGTTTTATGAGAAATAAAACGATTTAAGTATGCATCAAATAATTCACCTAATAAATTAAGAAATATTAATATAATTATAATATATAAAAATAATTTTAATATTAAAAACTTACCAATAATAAATAGATAAACAAATAAATCTAATTTATCAAAATTAATAATTCCATTCTTTTGACATTGAGTTAAAATTGCTAAGCTAAAAAACCTATAAACTGCACTATCATCTTATTTATCCACATTAATAACATCTCTTATAAACAAAGCAGAGTTTTCATCTTTTGCAATAGCTAGTATTTGATCATATTGAACTGTATCTTTACCAAGTACTAATAATCGTGCTCCACTATGTACATTGTTTCTACCATTCTTTTTTGCATGTTTTAGGTCTTGAACCCAAATTATTAGTCTATTACTATAAATTGGTGCTGAAAAATTAATATTGTAAAATTCATCTTTATACTGCAAAAAATCAGTTGCTTGATTTTCTTTCATTAATTCTATTTGTGCATTAAACTCACTAGCTGTTCTATTAGATACAACACTAATTAACTTCAAATTAGCCTGTATTGTCATATTAATTAATTTGTATAATAGATCGTATATTTCATTTGCAGTATCATTTCCTTTAGTAGGTAATAAAGTAATTATGATAAGAGGAATTTGTGTAATTGGAATTTAAAAAGGATTAATTAGTAAATAAAATAAAGAATAAAAAATTTATTTATATAAATAATTTCTTACTTTTAATAAAATACAACGAATTTGTGAGGCAATTTCATTTTTTTCCGAATATTTTTAATTATCTCATATATATCACTATATATTTGAACATGTAATTCTTCAAAAGGTGTTATAGATCCAACAATGCAACCTAGTTCTTGAGAATATGTTAATTTAGACTGAACTTTTATACAATCGATCATTGCTACCACTAGACTATTCCAACTTAAAACATTCACAGCCTTAGCAAATCTAGCAACATTTTCATAAACCAAATTTGGATTTGTTAATTTATCTTCATCCCTAGTTCGCAAATATCTAATAAAATAAAATGTAAATTTAATAAATTTTTGCAAGTTTTTTATGTTATAGTAATAAAATAATACTTAATTAATCATAAATCCATTTCAGCAAATAAATTTTTAAAAATTTGATATTCTCTACTGCTATCTGATAATAAACTAAAAAAATAATGTAAATGCTCTGAATATCTTAAACCTCTTTTACTTTTTCCTTTCTTTTCGATATCCTTTATCTGTAATATTAATTGAGCTAAATCACAAAAAGTTTTATTATTACTAAACTTCCCACTTCTTTCATATTCTGCTAATTGAATCTACATATATGATTCTTTATTTTTTACAGATCTAAATAAATCTTGGAAGCCCAGATTTTGTAATAGTTTAACCAAAGCATTGTTATTTAACCAATGTTTAAGAATAAATTTAGCAATTTCGGAAGTTGCTCGTTTCTATAAATGTTAATTTTATCAATATTGATTAATATAATATAAAAAAACAAAATTAAATATTACATACCGCATCCAGTGCGGTTAGTAATTTTTTATTTGTATTTAATTTATTACAATTATTATAAATTTGAGATATATTAATAGTAAATGACTCACATTTAGTATTTCTAATAGATAATGTCTCCTTTTCTACAATCCATTTAGCATTTATTCGCAAAGTAATTTTTAATAATTGATATTCATCTGAAGTTAACTTAGAGTAAGAAAATTTGGAGTTTTTTTGGAAATTTAGCTGGAAATAATTGCTTTGCTATTACAAAATCACTTTTTGAACCACCAAATTCAGCTGGAGTTTTAAGCACATATTGTCTAATTTTTTCATGAGTTAAACCAATACAAGCTTTTGCTTTAGCTTTATTTTGAGAATTTTTATTAGATGATCCTGAAAAATATTTTAATACACTAATTTGTTTTTTTGTTTTTTGTTAACATTTATTACGTGTTGCATGGGTGATCAAATTTTTTGCTCTATATGCTCGATCCAATTTTATTATCTTTCCACATTGACATCTGATTTGTTTTGGTGTTATTAGTCTTAAAAAGAATTTATTCTGGCGTAATTTCTTTTCTTCTTCACAAATATTAGAAGGAAAAATAACTAAATCATCATGCAATTCATATTCTGATTCAGAACTGTTACTTTCATTATCATCACTTTCTGTATCTTCATCATCATTATTTTCTGAGTCACTACTAACAATATCTTCAAATTTTCTTTTATTTATAATGGTATCTTTAATATCAGTTGGTAAAAGGCCTAAAAGGGTTTGCTGTACAGTTGCTTTTTGTGTTTTTTTATTGTTATAATTTGAATATTTAGTCAAAATTTTAGAGTTTTCACTTTTTTTAAACAGTATAGGGAAGTTTATTGTGCTTTGAACAGTTGTTTTAGAAGCTTTTTTTGATAATTCAGCATTCATCTTTTAAGATACAAAATTGATTTTTTTTTAAAAAAATACGAATTCTTAATATATATATAATATATATATATAAGGTAAATCTGTATTTACCCAACTATAGAAAAAACATGATCATGCGTTAAAAAAATTTTACCCATATATATTCTTGTGACATTAAAAAAATTTACCCTTAAAAAAATTTGACATTTTTTATTTACACTATAAAATTTACCTCCGATTATCCTGTAAGTTTTACAAATTTTCTATATAAAAGTTACCATTGAGTTTACCTGAAACCTCATATATGAGTTTCTGGAATCCTAATAAATCCAACAAACTAAATTTTATTTTCTTGTAATTATTTTTTTTTTTTTTTAAAAGACGCGGTAATGCAATATTTTATTATATAAAACAATTTCAGTAAAAATTTACATGAAAATCCCAAAAGGGTACAAAAGTAGAAAAATAAAAATTGCTGCCTAATATTCATTACTAAGAACTAGCTCCCATTAGACCAACTGATTGTCCTGTCTGATTCTGATTATAAAGATTTACTGAACAATCATAAATACCAAACTGAGAAAGGAATCATCAGAGCAACTGGTTATCACCAGTCCAAAAAGAGGGACCAATGTCGACCATGTTTGTAAGATTTATTGATTAGTATAAAGTAATCTAAAATATCTGTATTAGTAGCAAATGTAGTATTGGAGAAACTATTGATAGAAAAATTAGTATTAGACGAGGCAAAATTGTCTTTCGTTTGTCGTTTTGTTATATGTAAAAACCTTTCTTTATCCAAAGTTAAAGTGCAACGAGTTTTCCATATGTTGTCATAAGCCTGATTAAAGACAAAATCAAAAAATGAGGAAAGAATTAAAAGAGTGAGAGAAGGCGATTTGGTAAATATTGTTAAGGTTGATGATAAAATATTAGGAACAATATCTTTGATAATATCTATGAATGAGAAATTATGTGGGGATGCTTGTATAGACCATATTACGTGGGAAGAATTTAAAAGATTATCAATTTTATTCAGAAATTCAGTTTTTGAGGTGTAGATAAATAGTTGTAGTTTTAAATGCGCAATGGATTCAGCGATTAAGGATCGAGTATATTGTCTGATATTAGGGCATAGCTATATATAATTAAAGTCTTCATTATGATTATTACAACGGCAGCATTTCCAGGATGGTGAATACAGTTGAGGTTGAGTAGCTTTTATGAACTGAATCGTTGGTAATTGTTCAAGAAGGAATTTGAGTTTTTTGCAATAACTTCTTGTTTCATTGAATGAGGTAGAAGATGCTGTTCCATTCTGGATGATTTGGAAGGTCAAAATCCAATTAACTTGTAGGTGCTGGTATTTAGTGTTTCTTTTAAGATGGTAATAATCAGAGAAATGTCTAGTGTTAGTGTAATCTTTTAAAAATGAGCATAAGGGGTGGTGTATAGGCATGCTATTAAATATGGATATATAGTTAATGAAGGGAATATGGTTTAGTGATAAGTTCAAAGGAGAAGAAAAAAAGGATGATTTTGTCAATTTATCAGCCTTATTATTAAATAGACTATTGGAGTGGGCAGCTACTTTAAAAAGGAAAATAGTGATTTGTCATTCCTCAATAATTTTAAAAATAATTGACCAAAAAATGTAAAAAGGAATTTTAAAAAGGAGTGATGGATATCTAGTTGCATTAGTTCTCTTTATGTAATTATATGTATAAATAAAGGCTAAACTGTCTGTGTGTATAGAAATAGAAGAAGCTGAAGGACTAATTAATAGAACTAAAACAAGAGCAAAAATTTCAGCATTGGTAGAATTAGCCCAAATGGTGGGAATAGCTGTTGAGAATTCTATGTTAATATTATCATGTATCAAACAAAATGCTGAGCTTAAATATGATGCTGGTGGTGAAGAAACAAATTTGTGGGATCTATCTGTATAAAAGGTAAGTGATCTTTCATTTTGTAAAACATAGTGGAATTCTAATAAAGATGATCTGACTCTATCATTAGTAATTATATTAGGAATGCTAACAAATGGTGGAACATTAGTGATAAGGTCGTTCGAAATAATAGTTGGAGGGTGGATTGTCAAATAGTGTTATTTTGCTTGATCCATAATAGACCAGACATTGCGTTTGAGAAGATATAATTTTTTGTCGTTAACTGAAGTGAAATATGTAACGTCTATTATTTGAGGAAGGTCATCATCAACAATGTTACCACAGGGCCAAGCAGTAATAGCTGCATTAAAGTTTAGAATAAATTCTGGTAAATTAAAAGAACACCCTGAACAGGAAGTGAACATGTTCTGTTTCTTTGACACTGATTTAGGATCATGGTTGAGGACTGTATTATTTACGTAGTGTTAGATGGCAACTTTATAAGGAACAAAATGTGATCTTATAGCTTTTCCAATAATGCCTTGACTAGGATATGGTAAATTATAATAATTATGATCTGGTGGTGTCCAAAGGGCAATCCATGGTGACTTTTTTCACTATCAGCAGTAGAAGCAGTGATGTATTCTTGGGAAGTAAACTCGTCAAGACAAAATTCAGGCTTTAAACGGTTGAATGTACAGGATTCATAAGGACACATTTTTGTAAGGTGAGAAACCATTCAAGGATAACTCCTTTATTTGGAGTACTAGCTTTAAGAGAGAGATCATAATATTCCATCAAAAAACTTCCTTTAGTGACAAATTGATCAAGAAACAAAGCTCTGCATCTTTTTAATGATGGGATCTATTTTTTTTTCTACAGAATGAGAGAATTAAGAGTAGTTGTATCTCCTTGAATGTGAAAGTCTGAAGCAGAGGAAATTGTTCTTTGCATTGAAAAGGGTGTCTGGAGATATAGCATAAGTATATTACATAAATAATTATCATGTCTTAATGAGAAGGCCAACTTATTATAGGATCATCTGGTAACCAGAAAAAGTTCTGAAGTTGTTTTAGACAGATTTTAGTTGTTAAGGTGAGTGGTGATCTTAGGGCATCGCCATAAGTAATTAGATTAAAGTGTTGTAATTTGGAGTATAACATATTGGAGGCCAAATCATTAAATCCAAAAGATAATTTGTTGAGAATTTTACTGTTGGGAGTGCATTTGTTGAATTTGAGTTTATGCTTTATGAATGTACAGATACGTGAGAAAAGAGCAAAACATTCTTTTTGTGAGAAAACAATTAGTTGAGAATGGTATTCAAGTCTAGGAATAAGTACTTGATTGCAGAGATATTTGAGTTGTTTATCAGTCATAGGCTTAGTTTTAAGTTTTAGAATAAAATCAGTAATTTCGTTCTCTAATTGTTATTTGACAAATTTTTTGTTGTAAAAGGCTGAAATCTAGACTCCTAAATATCTAGTAGATTCATTTGGTTTTTTTGTTAGTATTGTTACAGGACCGTTCAGATGCTTACTATGGAATGAGATGTCACCAATTGTTACTTCAGATGTTACAATAAAGGATTTCTCTATATTAACTTGCATTGAATTCAGATCGAAGAAGGATTGAGCGATATCAAAAATTTCTTGAAGTTTCACGCGGCTGTCAGTGATCTAAATAGTATCATCTATATAAGCTGAATTAGAAATTGAAGTTAAGATCGATTTCGTTTCCATGTTATTAATGTTTAGTGACCATAAAACGTCTAATGTGTAACTTAGATTAGACTGTTATATATGAGAGAGAAGAGGATCATAGTATATTACCCATAAAAGTGGAGAGATGACCTCTCCTTGATCAATTCCGATGAGAATATCGTAAAAATCTGTATTGCCATATATGGTGAAAATACTATTCTTTCTATTAAGAAATAAGTTAGAAATTAGTGTAATAAAAGAAGCAGGAACTTTTAACCTATGTAATGCCTTTTTTAACATAAAAATATTAACTCGATCATATGCTTTGGACATATCCTGAAAAAGTATATAAAGATCAGATTTTTGATATTTAGGCATTTTTCTTTTGAGCCAGTGGAATTCTAGAATATTGTTAACAATATGTAGTGGTTCTAATGTTGATTGATGAGGTAGGTTAGCAAAGTTGAGTCTTTTAATGATTTTATGTTCAATGAATATGATTTGTAGTCGCTGATTCATCAGTTTTACAAATGCTTTGCAAATTGTTTCAAGTAACGTAATAGGTCTAGTGTTGTTGAGTTGGCAATTCTATGGTTTGGATTTTAGTATGAGATATATATAAGCTAGATTCCACTATGATGGTGTAAACTTATTAATTAAACATGCGCAAATAATATTATATAAAAAATTTTTGCATCTAGGGCCCAACTTTTTCAAAAGCTCATTAGTGATTTTTGATGGACCTGAAGCTTTATGATCAGGTAAGTGTTTGATCAAATTATTTCATTTATCAATGGAAGGTAAGTCTATGAGTGAATCATAAGCATCATCTAGAATATCTTCATTGGGTTCATAATATTTTTTTCACATGGGCCAATCTGAAGAAAACTTATCAGTATTTGGATCAATAACATTTTTATTTGTAGAACTGGCAATAGTTTGGAAATGTTTTGCAGT